AATAAACAAACGTTGTAGGGGAGTCCTGCCAACTTTCGTGGCGGGTACAACCGCAGGTAGGACATTGAAATGCAGGGAGGAGCACACAAACTGTCTGTGCCCTTTACGTTTCTGACTGCACAGTTGGTGCGCCTAGTCGCTCGACTGGTAGACGCCGACACGGAAATTCACGCAAGCGGGCTGTTCCTGGAATATCTCNTGGGATGAGAGGAAGCAGTGTGCGCGGAGTACATCCTGGTACGGTAGCGGACGGCTACACAGTGGTGGTAATGCCTCGCATTCGGTTGGGCCCTTCGTGATCTGCAGAGATATGGGATATACATATTAGGATTAAAGGGAGTAAGCCGGCTGATAATTATTTCTGTCGAATTCATATATAATAGTATATGTATACTTAGTTGCCCCCCGTAGATTGCATAACATCAGAAAGAATATTTTTTGGAGGCGTCAGCAACGATGGGGCATCAGAGTAAACCTGCCGAGTAGTCGATCGATAAGAGAAAATATTAACTACGGATAATATTTGGGGAAAGCTTCGTGAAACATTAGGGAAACCACAGTTCTGGTCGCGGGGCGGAACACCCGTCCCCCTCGCAGCGTACGATGCCCTAGACGATCTCCTTTCCCAAGTCCGGTAGCCGTGGACAAACCTTCATTGTATAGCCGCCGCTTGGGAAGCCGTGACCTGTTCCTCCATAATGCACTGTCGCTTTTGTGTTATCGATCTGTGCGAGAATCTCTAAATAAACTATTCTATTCACCTTCTAACCTTACACTAAAATACAACCCAACTAATATGTTGTAGGGCGGAAGCATCACCCTGGGGGTTTTGCAGTCGGCAAGGAGATCCCACCACCTTTACGGCCCCACACAGTCGGAGATAGAAAGTGAAATAACAAGGGATAACATTCAAACTTTTACTCTCCTTAACCGTTCAGGCTACAAACTAGGTGTTAGCCCTGAATTCCACACAATTGCTTCGCCCGCTCTCTGCACAGTCACAAAGACAGTGCGGAAATCCATGCCTAGCGAACGTCGCTGGACTGTGACAAACGATACACCCGATCCGATTTATCTTCAAAATGCTACAGGTTAATAGATGCCTTCTACGTTAAAGTTGAAACGACGATTTTTGGTGCAATGGAATGAGAGGGAGACATGAATGTCGGATATACCCACTGGGCCTACCTAGCAGTGGCACCGGCAGCGGATAGTGAGCGGCATCGACCATATTTCACTTTCCGAGGGCGAAGCGTTTCATAATATCCCTTCACAACGTGTAATTTGAAGTTGATCCGCGGGGATCCAGGCATAATAGCCTCATCCCCCGTCCGTTCTCTC